CGCGCATGTTTTTGTGGAATATCAAGACCATATTTGGAAATAAAGGTTCAAAATCTGTCACTGTGAAGGTGCTGTACACGTCTGTACCGTACAGCTGGACATTAGTATATTTAGGATACACTTTTATACCTTCAGTGTACTATGAATTATATGTTTCATGTATTAATATACCTTTAAAGTCTTGTTAAGAACAAAGCTGTACTCTTTGAACAGATCTACCCCAATGACAGATGTTGCAGCTTTATTTCTGAGAGTGTGTGATGTCATGAGCAGGACCAGACTGAATCTGTGGACGTTTTTTGCTATTTCTGCTGAGAATTTTGGTAAAAATCTGCAGATTTCTGTGGAATTATTTTGGGAGTATCATAACTAAATATGGGGGGAGTGGGGATCACACCTGCTGTGACAGACTGATGATGTTGTGTGTGTGTGTGTGTGTGTGTGTGTGTGTGTGTGTGTGTGTGTGTGTGATTCATTACTACACCTCAGCCCAAACCCCTGTCCTTCATGCACTGCTGGGATTTTGCATATTGTGTATTATATCATGTGTTCTCTCACACTAAACCCTCCAAACACACATTTAAGTGTTCACACACTGCAAAGAAATGCTTTCCTTTCTCAGAGTTTCTGTCTTGTGTCTAGTCCAAATATCTACAAACTCTTGAAACAGTCAGCATTTTCTAGACAAGCACAATATAGTGCTGTTTTCAGAAATATGAGTCAAAATGAAGAGAGTTTCTCCTTAAAACCAGCTAAATAATCTGACAATGAGGTCAGTAAAATGAGCAGATTGTTAAAGTAAAAAGTAGATTATTCTGCTTCCCCAGTGTCAGATTATTCTGCCAGTTTAAAGTATTTATTTTTGACTCGTTATTTCTGTAAACGAGACTCTATGCTTTGCTTTTTTTTAGAAAATGCTTCTTGATTTGAGAGGTTTTAGCTGATATTCTGATTACACACACACCAAACTATCCAGATTAATTCAAGTTAATAATCCAATAACATAAACCAATCTTTACCCCTTTAATCCTATATATATTCTGATTATACACACCAAACCTTACAAACGGATGATTATATATAGTTTAACTACATTAGCCAAAGATGACCTTTCATTAACACCAAATCTCAGTTTTACTCTTCATTCTGATTGTCACACATCAAACTTTAATAGATTTATTTTTATTTATGTTTATCTTTGATCATTTAATTCACTCGATTTTAAGAACAACATAAAAACACAGTGTACATCAATTTTTCCAGCATGATTTTTATTTTTCCACACTCATTCTGAAAGCGTAGCTCTGTGTCTGTTTCTGGAGATGGTGAATTATGTACCCAGAGCTGCATATGGCTGCATTTAGTCTGTAAAATGAACGCTATGGGGTGATATGATGATATTCTTTTCATGCTCAATCGATTACCCTTGTGTGGATGGCTTTCCTGATGTTGCCAGTTTGTCCAGTGGCTCATTATGTACTTCGACAGACTTGAGACGCAGAGAGGAGCTGACCACGATGAAGGAGTTTGAGTCCTGTTAAGAACGCTTCCAGACAGCAGGTAAGACAATAACAGAAGCCCAAAAGTAAAAATAAACAAGTAAATAACAGGGTGAGAATGTGGTGAAATCTCAAAATGTGGCCGTTTCTTTTTCTGGAGTGCTTTTGAAGACACTATTGGTTGGGTTTAGGAAAGGAGATGAGCTCGAGTCAATCGGTGGTTTTTAAACACTGTCGGTTGGGTGTAGGGAAGGGAATTAGTCGGTCAGTCAGTCGACAGCAGCCTCTGGTAGATTTACATGAGAACAGCAGGCCTGAATGCCACTTGTGAGAGAAATTTGAGATCTGTAAAAGTGTACACAGCGCCCTCTGGTGGATTCACATAAACAAAACTGCAAAACAATGTAGCTCCTGTATTTGGTGCTCTCCAGAAATGTACACAGGGGTTCATAATCAGAATGAGCCTGGGTGGATTTTTCTTCCATCTGTTTCAGTATTTTTCAGTGACAGATAACTTTATTTTAAGTGAAGTTAATTTATAATGTCGAGAGGATCATGTGCTTATGATTGCTTGCAGTCGGTCCTGCATTATTCAATTCATGATTGACCAATCAGACGATTTCTAAGCCACTATAAAAACCCTCAGCTCCACATCACAGCCATCTTCAACTTGAAGAATCCCCCCTTCCACCCCTACTCCTCCTCCTTTCCTAGATGGTGGCACGGTGGCTCAGTGGTTAGCACTGTTGCCTCACAGCAAGAATGTCACTGGTTCTAGTCCGTATAAAGCCAGCCAATGTTTCTGTGCGGAGTTTACACGTTCTCCCCGTGCTCATGTGTGTTTCCACCGGGTTCCCCGGTTTCCTCCCACCGTCCAAAAACATGCAGCTTAAGTTAATCGACTAATCCACATCAGCACATAGACATGCTGCTAGTCAGTAGTTATCTGTTAAGAGCGATCACTATCTGTTCACTAACTACTACAGCAGGGGAGTTCTCCACATCTACCTGAGCTCAAACTCCCCTCTCACCCTGCAAACGGGAGGGAGCCCCGGACTCGAGGATCTGATGAGCTCAGGGCTCTCTCCCGCAGCATGATGCAGGACAGCATGATGAACACGCTTTATAATCAATCATCAGCTGAGCGTTAACTCTCGAAATACTCTAATATGTCAGAAGAAATCCACTTTATCAAGTGTTCATATTTCTGTTGGTAATATGTTTGCACATTTGTACATATTTAATTAAATTAATCACCAATTTGGTTAGTAAAAAACACTTCAGACAGGCTGTAATACAGCGCAGTTGACTTAAATGCTCAGTGATTGATTAAGCAATGAAACAGTGATATTGATCAGCTGGAATGTTCACCTGAGCTGCCTCATCTTAAGTGTTACACTTTACAGCAGATTTATTATTACGTATTTTTATCTCATGGTTTTTATGACAGCCGGGTTAGCTCCAGCACATTATCTTGTCTGGGTTTACTTGTACGGTGCATTAGTGTCATCGCTCCTTTACTGCGAGTGCAGATTTATATGATCAGCCAGAATAATGAACTCAATCACTTAGTGCTGCTGCTGCTGCTGTGCATGGAGATAATGCTCGTGTTTCAGGCATTCTGTAATGTACGTATGGCTGCGTGTGTGTGTGTGTGTGTGTGTGAAGTCTCTGCGGGTTGCTTGCTTGGTCGGTGACCTACTTTGCTTTTTGCATTTTATGTTCAAAAGCTTCTGATCAATCCCACTGTGAGCTGCGAATCCCTGAACAGTGATAACAGTTTAAGACTGAAAACCACTCAAGATCTCCACTACAGCACACTGTAATGCGCATTCTGACCTGTGTGTGTGTGTGTGTGTGTGTGTGTGCACACGTTTTTGTGCATATTAGGACACATATGTATATAATATTACGTATATAACACAGATATTACAGGTGAATGTGATTTATGAGGACATTGCTGATGTCGCCATTTCATTTCTAATAAAGTAAAGCTGCACAGTTTACTGTAGGGGATACGGTTCAGTATGGTGATGCAGTTTAAACAGTATAAAATAATGGAAACCTATGTAATGTACCCACAATTCACAAAAACAAACCTGTGTATGTGTATATATGTGTATGTGTGTGTGTGTGTGACTGACACAAAAGAGTCTCATTGTTTCAGCAGTGATGCTCATAGGCTCCTCCCACCGCTGTAACCACACCCCCTTCATGCATATGCGTTATTATTCATAGGCTGAGCTGCCGAAGGGGGCGTGTCCTAAGAGAGAGCTAGGAGAGAGACTCGCACAGACACACACACACAGAGAAACACCGCTCGCTCACCTCCAGTCTCCGCTCCTCCAGCGGCTCTGTCGGGTCCCTCACGCCGATGAGAGGCGCTCCTGCAGCGGGTGCTGAGCCGCGAGCGCCGCGGGGAGAAGCAGAGGATGGGCTGCAATCTGTGTAGTCTTCAGAAGAGAGAAGAGCATTACAAACTCCTGTACGAGATCGCACAGGTGAGACACACACACACCTGACATCACAACTAACTGTCTGGGCTTCTGATGCTGTGGTAATGTGATGTTTGCTGTGAGAGATGCTGTTATACATCATATATAATGCATGTGTTTATGCATGTTCCCTATATAAATTCATAGATCTGAGCATGGTCTTACAGTGATTTACATGATATTTGGAAGTCTTGTTCGTCATGTAATACTATAGTTGCTGGAATAGTGCCTTTATTGACTTTAATATTAATGATGTATTTATTACGTAATAACAGTATTTAGGTTTTACAATTGTTTTAATACCATATGTTCAAGGTTTTATGATTGTTTTAATTGTTATATCATGCATTGTTGTGCTTTTTTTCAATAATAATTGTTATATTATGGTGTTATTCGGCAGTAATTCCTTGTTTTGACCTTAAAAACTATTTTTAGTGATTGTTTTGGGTGATTTTTGTCACATAATACTGTAATTGAAATATTAGTGCATTGCTTTTACAGTGGATATTTGTTATAACGCATATTTTTCACATCATATCACAGTTTTGCATTGCTTTCACCTTTGTGTTTCATCCATTAGTCTTTAAACTGGTTTTTAAAATTTTTTTTATTTATTTTACCTGCCATAATTTCATATTTTGGACTGAATTACGTCATTTTAGCAATGCACTTGTATCAGTGATTGGGTTTCCTCATAATACCAAGCATTTTGTCTGACTACTTTACCAATCTGAGACTTGTTTTAAATGCTATATGACTGTGTGTCAGTATTATAGTCTAAACTGTCTTTGACACGGTTCCATAGTTTAGTTTGTTGGACCACCAGTAGCAGAAACAGGCAGATAATAATCATTTACTGTCATTGACAATGAGTGGGGAGTGCAGTGCTGTAGCATTATCAGAGCTGTGGCATTATAGTCTGAGTGAACACACACACACACACACACACACACACACACACACACACACACACACACACACACACACACACGTGGAGCCGCTGATGTTCTTAGTGATTATGGTTATTGTTGTGTGTGTGTGTGTGTGTGTGTGTGTGTGTGTGTGTGTGTGTAAAAGCAACTCTACATAAGGGCTGATTGTGATGAAGATGATGGAGGATCTGATGAGGGTTTCATCAGCTCTGAGGAGCTGTGATGGGCTCTGATACACACACACACACACACATATAACTTATGCACAAACACTTACGCATACACACAGACACCCACATAGACACACAAACAATCACTTACGCATACAAACGCACACACATAAACAAACAGCAATCACTTATGCACACACACACAACTTTCAAACATTTCATACACACTCACACACAATGCACAATCAGTAACACAGACAGACACACATGCACACTAAAATTGCACACTATGACGCACACACACAAACACACGCACACGCTCACAATCATACACAAAACCGCACACTATTGCACACACAATTACACACAAACATGTACACACACACACACATTTGTACAAAATGACACACTTGCACATGCACACACACACACACACAGACGCATTCACACACATGCATGCACACAGTCACACTCATTTTCACATGCTTGCACAAAAACACACACACAAAACATTCACACAAACACACACTACGCATCAAAAAGAATTACACAGTTACACACGCACACAACACACACACTCGTAGACACACAAAATTACACACTCTTAGAGATGGTCATATATTCTCTCTCTGCCACACACACACACAAACACACACACACTCATTAGGCTCATATTTAGTGACTCTGGCTCCTCATAAAGCTGATCGCTCCGCTGTGTGTGTGTGTGTGTGTGTGTGTGTGTGTGACAGCAGTTTCCCTCAGTTAATTGCTGCCGTTGTTCAGTGAGGAGCAGTTTTGAGGAATGTCCTCCAGATGATGAGTGTAATCAGAGGTGTGCAGATGATGAGCTCCAGTAGATCACGCCGCTCATTCCAGCGTCACTGAAACACTAAACGAACAGCAGAATTAAAGATGATGTGTGGAGTTCATTCAGTCCTGCTGGAAACTGTTATACGAGTGTGTCATTCAGCACAATTACATGAACACCAATACACTGATTTTAATATGACTAAGATAATACAGCCCAAGACTATTACTAAGCTAAGCAGGGCTCAGTCTGGTCAGTGTCTGGATGGGAGAGCACATGGGAGCACTAGGCTGCTGTTGGCAGTGGTGTTAGTGAGGCCAGCAGGGGGCGCTCAACCTGTGGTCTCTGTGAGTCCTAATGCCCCAGTATAGTGAAGGAGACTCTATACTGGCTTTCAGATGAGACGTTAAACTGAGCTCCTGACTCTCTGTGCTCATTAATAACCCCATGGCACTTCTGCTAAAGAGTAGGGGTGTAACCCTGGTGTCCTGGCCAAACTCAGTCCATCAGCCCTTACCCATCATGGCTTCAAAATCATCACTATCCACTGAATTGGCTCCATCACTGTCTCTCCACTCCACCTATAGCTGGTGTGGGGTGAACCCCTGGCTCTGTTGTCCTGTGGCTGCCGGAGCATCATCCAGGTGGAGCTGCACACTGCTGGTGGAGTGGAGAGACCCCCCTCATGACTGTGAAGCGCTTGTATAAATACACATTACTCACTTACTATGAAGAGTCGAACATGTAAACAGATTTTTGATGTTTTTAATCCAGCTGAAGTCAACAGTAATGTGATTCAGACATGTGGAGTATTCCTATTTCAGTTTAAGTGCAGCACAGACGTGTAAACACCGCAATCAAACTATTACAGATGATTAATTAATCATAATAACTACAGAATAAAGCGCTACAGGTTTAATGTATAAGTCTGAAAGGTCTGTTCTGTGATAACCACCGGCTGGATGGACATTATGCTGAGAATAAAGCGCTACAGGTTTAATGTATAAGTCTGATAGGTCTGTTCTGTGATAACCGGCTGG